GAAAGTTAGTATAGGAGGCATGAATGTATGATGCGTATCTACAGCAATGCTTCTCGACTGGAGTGAAGCCAGGTGCGCTTTGCGTATAACCGCTTCAACATCTTTCAAAATATCATGGTTTTGGTCTCAGTGTTGGAACTATAACGAATTAAATTCATATGGTTCTAGGCACCAAAGTTTATGCTAAATCTTTTATTGCCGACACGTCTCGCTACCTGACCGGTAACATCATCGGGGCACAAGTGCTTCTTGTGTGATTGACCTGCGTGGTACTTCTGAAACTCCTGTGCCTAGACAACCTCGTTTTGCACGAAAGTTGCTTTTGCTGTCAGTGAAATTCGCAGCCAAGAAAGTGATCTGGTACATTTCGTCCGCCATCGTATAGGATGCAGCAACCTCGTAGGATTCGTTAAGATGCGGGATGCCGAATATCACAATCATACAGCCAACTAGTGCTTGAGCCAAATGATGCTAATATTGCGGTAGCGAGACGTTTCAGCAATAGAAGCTGCAACATTAGCATTGTTTAGTGCAGTAAACCGCGAATTATTAAATCTGTTACTACCTTCGTTTACCATGAGGATCGATTTCTTCCACTTCTGTCAGGTAGTAACCCATTTATCAGCGGCGACGTTAGTTCTGGTGCAATCCCATCCTATTTGTACAGTGCCAATCGTTGCTTGTCCTATTTCCTCGTTTTTGATAGGCGCTGACTGAAAAATGGAGACTGACAGTAAAGGAAGAATGAGGAATTCGCCGTTTCTACACCACCCTTCGCATGCCGGTGGCATTCAGCATTTGGCGAAGATAGCCCATATAGCGACGGAAGAAGCTATCACCTTCACTTCGTTGGCTATGAATTCCACTTCGAGTGCCAATGCATTTCCAGCAACAAACTGTACGTTCAGAGCAACTGCAATAGCACAATACAGAGGAAAGGCAACTTGTTGCACACGCTGTGCTTGAGCTGAAAATACACCGCTGATCGACGCAGCTTGCTGTGTTTTGTTCTTGTTTTTGTTCATTCTTGAAGAGGTCGTGTCACCGATCCGATCTTCAGTCGGTACATCGACATCGCTACACCTTCTCCCTCATCCTCATTGCCTACGTGCCGAACGAGTGACAGTCAGCGCCGCTGGAGTCGCTGAAGCTGTGTGACGAAGTTTACATTGCTAACTTGCCGCATTGACACAGAAATTAATCATATTAAGCAGGCGAGCCGGTTGCTAATGACTTCGGACACCCCAGCTGGTGGCT